CTCCATAACCAGAAACGAAGAATAACCCACCTTCCTGGCGATCCACGTCAGTTAAAACTTCATTGTATATTGCATTTTGTTCGTCTGTTAACTGCCTTACCAATTCTTGGTTCTCTTTCTCCTGTTCGCCACGATCGTATGCTAATTCTTCTTGAATCAACCTATTTGCAATAATATGTAACGCCCACCAAAATTGGCCGTTGGCATCTCAGGATAGTCCTTCAAATCTTACCATGATTAGATAATAAGTTCTCAATCTGAAACTAAAGCAAAGTTCATTTTTGTGGGAATCGGTCAACACAAAATCTGCATAAATATATATAAAAATTTGTTGTTATAACCAAAATACTTTAAACTGGACTTAATAGTCTTAAAAAAAATGTACGATTACCTCTGTTCTGCAGTGTGAACGGATTTTGTATTGGGCATCGTCTGATAGATGTTGCCAAACGGCATGCCAAACTATTTCCGGTTTCCCCATGCAACTGCTCATTAGTAATGTCACGAACAATCTCCTCAATTGATCTGCTGACGCCCAACTACTGGCTTCATCTATTGCATCAACATATTCGTTGTCATCATCAACTAAACCCCTTGCATAACACGCATCTCTAAATGAGTCATATTGGACTCCATTTACAGTCCTAATATCTTCGTAACTTTTAGGGCCGCGTACTTTGTTCAACAAACACCTCAAATAGAAGATTTCACCAGTAGCTGGAGGGACATAGAATATACGTCCTTATGGAGAACCCTTTCTTTCGTGGCTGCCATTTTCTAAGGTCTTTCTTCCAAACGAATCTTGTTGGCATCTCAACATAAGTAAGCTCTCTGGCATTGGGGTATGTTTTATTAGCTTCGAACCATTCTAAGAACATGCTCTGTGCTATCGTAGGTCTATTCACAATGTTCTCAACTGCATCATCATCTGCAAATATCACACTCTGTTGATTAGGAAGGTGAAAGCTTAACCTCTCTACCGAAGGCGCACGAAGTTGTATATCAAACCCAAACAGACGCCAGACCGCTTCACACGGGGATATGTACCTACAGTCATAGTACATATTTATCTCATCTACTGCTTTGCCATTCTCGTCATCATTGCCTGTTTTGTAAAAATTCTGCTGTTACTCGATCAATGACCCTTGTTAACATACTTGAACAGGTACTTTATTGACCTTGATTGGTTGCACCCACTCGACATTTATATGAGCCTTGTACTTGAGCAATAAATATCTATTGTGCGGTACCACATACCTGTTGTCCAAGGCGATCCCGTTCTTTGTAACTACACTGCCATTGTCTCTCCTTCTATATACCGGGTAACCATCGTCATCAAACGTAGAACTATCAACAAATCTCTTAGGAAAATGTTTAGAGCATCGTGCATTTACCATGCATGGAGAATTTGTCCTGGCTTTTCCACATGGACCATGCATGATAAATTCCTCTACCGCCTGGTAATACTCAGCATCTTTCTTTTCATCGGGGAATCTCTGCTGAAATTATGTTGTCTAGAGTGAGAACTTGCCTAACTTCTTTACTTTTCTCCCAGAAAAAGCAATATATGAGCATGCGGAAGACCTCGCTTTGAAACTCAATTGTATATATGACTGTAACAACATACAAATAAACATAATAAGGTTAAGCAATTACATAAAATTTATTTAGATTAATTGATTTAAAATACAATAACAAAATATTACCTCCGGCAACAGGGCCAAATAGTTGATTCTTTCGACAATCAGCTATCAAAGCATCCAACTTAATCTTAAATAAGCGGCAAATTATGTCCGACCGGTCTTCTGGCTTCAACCTTTGATCTTTTAAAAACCGTTGCACCTCAGGCCACTTCGGATTGCATGTAAAGGTTATAAATAAATCTGGGTATCCAATCCATCTACATATTGCCATTGCATCTTGGTAGTTTTGTATCATATATCTAGCACCACCCGTAAAACTCGAAGGTAGTATTATTCTACGACCTTGGGCTGCAGGGCTTAAATCACCCCTCGTCAAAGCATCAGTCAGTCCACTGTAACTCTCACACCTTAGGCTTTTTTGGTGTGTCCTTATATAAATTAGTCTTCCAGACTCAACCATTGTGTAGCCATCTACAACGAATTGTTGGAACAACCACTTTGCAAATAATATGGTACTTGGAGCTGACTGTCTAGATTGTATGCGGTAGCAAAAAAACTCCCTGGGGCTAATCCTTTGTCTACCACCAGAAGAGCGCTTGCCGACTACGTCGGCGAATGCAATGTCCTCCCGATAACCATCTTCGCCATATGGAAACAGAATAGGGTATTGCAGTGGTAAGTATGAAGGATTTAATTCAGTAATCCTCTGTAGTTGGCCACCCTTCGATTGAACAATAATATCACGCTCTTCAATACTGGTATCCAGATCGCCAACGATTAAAGCTGCTACTTCAGACACTTGAGGCAGATTATATGTCCTAGCATCTCTAGTTCGTTTTCCCAACAACTTTATTTTTACTTCGGCGCATGGATTAATATCCAACTCAGACATAGCCATGCGAAAAGACTTAACCAAGACATTATTTTCATCCAGGTCTTTCTGAATGACATTCACTATTTCTACATGAATGTCATCTTGGTCACCAATACCCCTACAACAACATATACTTGGAATTGATATTTATTTAGATAAAAAATAGTATTCAAATGTGTAATTACGGAAACTTCTTTACCTCACAGCATTTATACGGTTGTTCCTTTCATTTGCCGTGTCGTATATGTATAACTGGGCAAAATGAGGTTCTTTGCCTTGTTCTGGAAGTAAAGTGCCCATTAGGTGGTAGTTTTGACCACTTAATCGAAAAATTGGAGGTGCTCCACCCTTGTTCACGTTCTTGTCAATTTTTCCACCCATGGATGTGAAGCAGAACATGTTGTTGTAGGTCCTAATGTTGTGTAAAAATTCTTTTGATAATTCGTCATTGCCGAAAAAGAGATCAAATATACCTTTTGGTGGCAACTTATTATCCGGCAATTTGATCTTCCCATTGTTGCAACACAACATAAACAGTGGCGATGCTTTTGTTGACAATTTTTCTTCCTTTCTTCAAACCAAAACATAGCCCCACAATGTACGCACTGATTTGTTGCATCACCAAAATCGCAGTATTGACCTGAAACCAAATATATACAAATTTAAATACTGATTTATATTTGCTGTATATATAAAACAAACAAACATACATACCATTTTGTGGACCAAATGATGTCCCAATTCCCGAGGTCTGCCTTACAGCGTCACCCGATAAATTTGCATATGAAATTAAAAAACATTTAAAAATTATTTTTAATATTGAAAGACTGACCATATGTACTTTACTTATATTTGTTTGAAACACCACAGGGTAGTATTTTAGTACCAGCTATGTTCTGATTTGGGACATCGCTCACCGCATTGTTACTTTCATCTTCAAAGGCAGGTAGCAAGTCTCTGGTTGTTACCTGGTCTTCGACAATTGCATATTTATCTAATGGTTTACGAATTGCAAATTCATCTCCTATTTGTGTATTGGATTGCTGTACTGTACACATACATAATATTAGACAAATTTAAAGAATAACAATATTTAAAGTGACAAATAATTGAAACCACTACATTTTATGGTACTGTAAAAAAAAATAATTTGGTAGCACGTAGTAACATAAAAAGGATAGAATTCTTAATACTATAAATTAAATACACCTAACATTATAACTTATGGTAACCTAGAATATGAAATAGTAATTTAACTGTATAAGTATTATTATATTTTAGTGGAAAAATCACATGGTAGACCATGGTCCACAATAATATGTTCACCATTAATAGAAATAAAAGAGAAAAAAGTGTATTTCACTAAGTAGAATCTATGGAATTAATTACACATATCAAAACAAATGAAACTATTTTAACAAAAAATTAGAAATTGAGATTCCAAAATAAATCATATATCAGCCAAAAATCCACACATACTTATATGTACCATGAGTTAGATTATAATTAAATTCACAATGAGTCTATAGCAATTCAGCTTAGGGCATTTACCGGTAGTGATGTTACTCAATGGTGTGATATATTCAGAGAAACATCCTCGCTGGGGATTTGTGTAAGGATTAGCTGTCGTACGTTGGTCTTGATCTTGAGCAGTATTATTCGTACAAGATGAGCCACCGAAATGATTTGCTGTGATTTAAAATATACCATCAAATTAAGAACTAATTCCAATAATTATAACTCGAAACAATTCAGTACACATAACAAAAAAAAAAAAAAAAAATCACTTGCACAACTTTAATACGTAATGGAATATAATTATGTAGACGATGGTCCACATTCTAACTTAAATACAATTCAAGTACGACAAAAACTATATATGATTAAGTACAATGTAATCAATTAATTACATCTAATCAATTAATTACAAATTGATATTAAACATGAATTACATTATAATTATACCATTTAATTTTACAAAAAGCTTCGAACAAATAACAGTATAACGATATTTAAATTAACAATGAATATATAAAAAGGATAGAATTCTTACTATTATAAATTAAATACACGTAACATTATAATTTATGCTAACCTAGAATATGAAATAGTAATGTAATTGTAAAAATATTATTATATTTTAGTGGAAAAATCACATGGTAGAGCATGGTCCACAATAATATGTGCACTGTAAATAAATAGAAATAAAAGAGAAAAGAGTGTAATTCACTAACTAAAATCTATTTAATTAATTACACATATCAAAACAAATTTAACTATTTCAACAAAAAATTAAAAATTTATTTTTAAAAAATAAATCATATATAAGGCAAAAAATAGTGAGATTACAATTCCACACATACTTATATGTACAATGAGTTACATTATAATTAAATTCACAATGATTGTATAGCAATTCAACACCGGGCATTTACCGGTAGTGATGTTACTCGATGGTGTGATATATTCAGAGAAACATCCTCGGTGGGGAATTGTGTAAGGATTAGCTGTCGTACGTTGGTCTTGATCTTGAGCAGCATTATTCATAAAAGATGAGTAACCGAAATGATTTGATGTGATTTAAAATATACCATTAACTTAAGAATTAATTCCAATAATTATAACTCGAAACAATTCAATACACATCACAAAAAAAAAAAAAAAATTCAATTGCACAACTTTAATACGTAAACGAATAGAATTATGTACACAATGATCCACATTCTAACTTAAATACAATAGAAATGTAAAACTATATATGATTAAGTACAATGTAATCAATTAATTACACCTAATCAATTAATTACAAATTGATATTAAACATGAATTACATTATAATTATACTATTTAATTATACAAACAGCTTCGAACAATTAACAGTATAAGGATATTTAAATTAACAATGAATGTATATCAATTCATATATTGGGATTTAACATTACTGATGTTACTGAATGGTGTGATATCCGGAGAGAAACAACATCCCAAAGGATTTTTGGCAGGATGATTTGGCGTATGTTGCTCCTTACCTTGACCAGCATTAGTCATTAATGATGATTTGAAAAAATTATTTGCTGTATGAAAAAAAAATCAATTAAAAGAGGATAAAAACAACAGTAAGTAGAACAGTTAACATTTTTTAAATTAATCACACATAATGCTATTCGTTACGCTAGCTTATGATTGTAAATTGTAATTGTTTTAAATAAGACTTACATAATAAGTAGACTTATAAAAAGGTTTTATAAATTCACAACGATGCTATATCAATTGAACTTAGTGGATTTACCGTTAGTCACGTTACTCAAGGGTGTGATGTTTTGAGACAAACACCCTCCAAGAGGAATGCGGGCAGGATTTCTTGTCGGAGACTGTTGTTTTGCTTGATCAGAATTATTCCTTGATGATGAGTTGCCCAATTCATTTTCTGCGAATTAAAATACAACATTAAATTTAATAATAATCCAAATAACTAAAAATCATAAAAATGAATTACACATAATACAACTAACAGTACATACTTAATTTCAAATTTTTAAAAATTTACCTAACAATTATTTACAAATTAGTGGTGTGCCACTAAACACACCTTACGGATAATCTAATTGTGAAATATATATAACCTGAAATGGTAATGGCTATATAGTAACACTAATTTTATTTGACAAAATCTTAAGTATAACATTGTCCACAATAAATACCATTACAATTGTTAAGATTATATATCTAATTAATTACACATAACAATTAAAAATTAAATAAATAAATAAATAACTATATACATATCTATATATTTATTTATTAATTTATATCTTTAACCTCTTTAAATATATTATTTTCGGTATATATATAATTTTCCGAATATAATTTATATATATATATATATATATATATATATATATATATATATATATATATATATATATATATATATATATATATATATATATATACAATAATATTTCCAATATTAATGTTTTTTCTGTCGGAATTTCGAGAGAAGAGGAAGAAGGGTCTACCCTTCTCCTTCTCTTGAGCTCTCCTTGCTCTCATGTCTGAACAGATCTGTTCTTCACCTCTCCCTACGATCTTACTATCTTTCTCTGTCAAGCCTAAATCTAGATCAGTCCTAAGTCCTAATCTCCGATTCAACTGTTCTTATTGAACATTGTTCCCGGAGAAATTGTAGTCGGGTCTCGCTTAGCATCGATCCGATTAGCAGTACACAATCCCGATCTTTCCTTTCTGTGAAAGATCTTAGTGTTCAACAACGGTAAATCGTGGCAATCGCGTTTCAGTGAAGGTAATTCTCCAATTCTAAGGTTATTAATTTGTCAATCTACACTAAATTTGTTTAGGTTTCCTACTTTTCGTTGTTGTTTGTTCTAAATTTGATCTACGTTTCTTGATCTATGCATGCATATCAACAATCATAGCTGAATTTTTTTGATTTCAGATTTGTCCTCTTCATAGCCATTAGGGTTCTAAATCGTATTTTTTGTAATGTTGCTCTAAAAACACCAAAGAGAAAGTACTCTTAACTGTTTAACAGTTATTTTCAAAATGGTATAGCTATATTATTATTCACACAAACCCTAACCTGTTTTCGACTTTATCATGTTCTTTTTTAAGAACATACTGGAATTTTTTGAGGAGATAGAGAGCATAAACAGAACCGCAGATGAAGAGGATGCTAGAATGAAGCTTAATTCGAAGTATGAAAAAGATAAGTTTCGAACTTACCTTTATTTTCATCACTTGGTTTCCTTTTGATGCCTAAAATTGTTGATTTAGTGATTTTCCTCATTGCTGTCTATTGTGTTTACTTGAAAATGTAGATGTGATTTGTGTCTTTACCTGTGGTCTGAAATTGGAGAACTGTGTTGGTAGTTAGATGGGGCAAAGCTGATAATATGGCTTCATTGTACTTTATTTTACTTTTGCCTGGATTTTGAAAATAGGATTGGAACTGAAGAGTTTTCTCTTAATAGTAATGATAGCTGCCCATCAATTGTATTTAATGTTTAGGAAATGTGTTTCTTTTCCTAAGAATGATTAAGTAATAGTTAACAGGCCAATATTTCCCACTGATCCAATTTCTTTAGCTGATTTGTAAGAACATGGAACACACACCCAATTACTCACTGGTTCTAGAACTATTCATTTTTCTCTTATGGCAGTGGCTGACATTATTCTTCAAATAAAAGTATATTTTCTTTTTTTTAGTTAACACACTAATGTTATTTAATTTACCAATCTTGAATTGTAATGCTGTTATGTAATTTCTTTCTAAATGTGCCTGCCAATTTATTCAATGTATGTGTTGGTATTATTTATTCTGGACAGAAAGTCTAACTTTTTTTTTATTCTTTTTAGAGCAA